CACCCAAACAACCCATTTTTTGCTCGTTTTTGCTCTCTCCAGCCTCCAGGAGCACTTTGCAAGCCTCCCAAACCCTTTGCACGTCCATTTTTGCAAAGGGGACGGGGTTTCACTAGGCTAAAAATGCTGTATTCAGTGTATAAGACACACCCAGATTTTCACCCTCTTTGTTTGGGTGGGGGGGAAGGTGCATCTTATACTCCGAAAAATATGGTATATGCTTCTTGGGATGCCTTCCAACTCTACAATTCAATGTTTCTATGATATGTTTCCACAGTCTTCTGCCTTTATTTATGTAGCAATCCCTTGGGAGAAAAGACCCTTTTCCTTACCCTATTCTGAGCTTTCTGATGCTTGGCTCGAATAATAAAAGGCTGAATCAGAAGCATCCAAGGTATGGCAATCAAGGCGAAAATGACCAGGAAAGTTTGAACTTCTTGCTAGGGGGAAAAAAAGACAATTGTTACTATCATACAATGCTCTAAGCCAAATAAACCCAAATAAATCAATAAACTATGTCAACGTGTAAAATCTGCAAGTTTTCCATATCAACGATTTGCAGGTTCCTGCTTTCTTCTACACCTATTAATACTTACATGAAAGCCATTTCTGTTTCCCTATAATCACAGGATACGTCTATGAGAAAACCATAATGATCTGGTTGCAGCTAATTGCATGTTTCTCACTGAAGTGTGATTTTATTTGCAGAAAGGTATCATGATCAGATGGAGAACTTTACCCACAAAAATGTGGCTGGGAATATTTAAATGCGCAGCTGGGCCTTATACCATATTTTCATGCAAAAATAGCTTCTACAGTACATGGTATGTGAGTTGCACTAAGCTATCATGGTTTGTTCAACAAGCTTCAGAAGCAGACAAAATATATTATAGTAAGGTTACAAGTTGGATGCAAAAATCTGGACAGTCATTAGATGGCAGCAAAAAAAAATACAGAACACTAACTCTGTGCTGCCATCTAGTGGATGTGTGGAAGCCTAGATATACTGTCTTAAATTATGACTTTTCCAAGGAGTCTAACTCCTTGATACTTGGGTGTAATAGTCTGAAATCAAGAGTTAACTCAGCTTGGTCAGAATGAGAAAGTTTCTCAAGTCAGCCTCTGCCTGAAGGAATAAATTAATCACCTAGAACAGCAGGAAAAAACAATTACTGCCAACCTGCCTTGTATTGAGGACCTTTATACTGCATAAGTCAAAAAGAGTCCCATGAAAATATTTAGACTACTCACATTCTGGACATAAATTGTTTCAACTCCTACCCTCAAAATGACACTATAGAGCACTGCACATCAAGATAACTAGAGACACCCGAATAGTTTATCCCTGAATTACAAATAATTCCTTCACAACTGTCAAACTATTCATTAAGGCTGCATTACTATTACTATTAGTCTTCTCATCATTCCGATCACCCATCTGCTCCCTCTTATGACTGCAGTCCTGTAAATTTGTTGCTTGT